GTATTGTTTTGCCTACCTTTCTGGGTGCTTTTCATGGTCAATGGCAGAAATTACACTCTAAATGTAGAGTGCTTATATGGCCATTGCTTCTTGCGTCTCTCTAAGGGGGCCAGGTTCTGGCTCGTGGCCCCTGGTAGGCACTAGAACTCCAAGGACTGATGACACCAAACTAATATGGCACATGTCAGTCTGATAGCTTCAGGGAGCCAACGAGGCTCCCCACAGAAACTGGTGAGAAAAAATTAAATAAAAGATTAAATAACCTATTATGTTGTTGTGTGAAAACTTACATGAGTATTGTAATATACAGTCAAAGTCTTTATAAAGTTTTCACACAAGATCATAATAGATAAGTTAATCTTTTATTTAACTTTTTCTTTTCAGTTTTTTGTTGCAATTAATGTGCAGTTAGTTGGCAATGCAATATACTAGAGGAGAGACCAACAGTGTTACTGGTATGAGTAATATAAGGGATAGTATAATGGATAAGGGATAGGATTTACTGTGAAAATATTACATTATTACACTTTAATTTATATAGAAACTGAAAACCATTGGCTGATTGTAAAGTCCATTTACTCCAAAGTAAAAATGGCAAGAAGTTATTTTTATCAACTATATGGACCACTTGTTTAAATTTAAAAAATGCAGCCAAGAGAATATGGCATTTTGTACCCATTTTTATCTTATATAATTTTTGCAAACAATCCAAATGAAATTTTGAAAATATACATTAGGTGTGATTTATGCTGTGTTTATTTAGGAAAAGAGTATCCTTCTGTCTTTAATCATTTATTAAATATGGGAGTTTAACCACTGTGCTGCGCCAACCGAGAAAACTCGTTCTTTTGGAAACTGTGCCAACCGAGAAAACACCTTTTGAATATTTCGTAACCATTCAAAACGCGTGCACGGTAGGTTGTGTATGATATGGACTCTTGGGACCTCCAGTGAGATTTCCATCTAATTACCCAAAGCTACCCAAAGCTACTCAAAGCTACCCAAAGCTTCTTAGCATTATATTAGGAATGAATAAATGATATATTTATTCATTATAATGTTGGTGCTGAATGTAACACATGAAAAACATATTTTTACTCTGGAAAAATATAATTTTATAATGAAATTAGAAGAAAATTAAGCTGCTGGTGACTCCATAGCAAGTCGACAATCCAAGCGACAATGTTATGGAGCGACTTACCCAAGACACATTGTTGCCTGGAGAGTGTTTGTTGGCATATCAGCCTCCTGTACGTACCTAACCTAACAAATCTAGCCAAACATAACCTAACAAAACCTAACCTAACCTAACTAAACCTACCCTATCCAAACCTAACTTAATATAACCTCTAGGGAACAATATATCTTGGATAAGTCACTCCACAACATTGGTGCTTGGATTGTCGACTTCCTATGGCCTCTCATGCCAATTAGTTTCGTCTAATTTTGTTATAAACTTGTATTATTTCAGAGTAAAAATAAGTTTTTCGTGTTTTACATTCAGCACCAACATTATAGTGAGTAAATATATATCATAGTTCTTCCATTACTTATGTAATGCTAGGAAGGTTTGGGTGGCTTTGAGTAGATTTGGGTAGCTTTGGGTAATTAGATGGAATGCCAGTGAGAGGCAGCCATCTTAGAAAAAATTCTCAGAATGTCCTAAGGCTGCTGGCTGGGTTAGTACCGAGTGAGCAACCATGGGTGTCACACATGCCTCTGATTCCCAAACGCCTGTCCGATGCGGTGTTGAAAGATCGCTCTCTCGGTGAAATTCAGACCTTATTGTTTGAAGAACATAAGAATCATGATACTGATGAAGCTAGGCGCAATAAGGACCTAACACAAAGGTCAGATGCAAGTGATACAGCACCAATGAGGACGATACAGCGTGCATATCCAGTTGTAGCTCTGAGCGCCACCCTTGCTTTTCTTTTTCTTCTTGATAGTAGGGGCAGTTTGCATGAAGGGTTTGTCCTCCCGATGACTGCACCAGTACAGATGTCGGGAAACTTGTTTATGGGCAACTTAGTGACGCGACTAAAACAGATTCATCGGACTTCTATAAGCACCAGCAGGACAACGGGAAGAAGACCTAGGATGGGCGTGAGGACACGTAGTGAGACACCTTTTCTCACCCATGCCATCTCCAATTTTTATAGATAATACTGTACATAGATGAATCGTTTTCTGGGTTCAGTGATGATACATCTGATACAAGTAGCATAGATGAACAGTGTTAGCGGCTTCCATGGTGGTGGTTTCCATAGATATTTTCAAGAATACTGTAGCTGAATCTCTTCCAGAATGACTGAATCTCTTCCAGTGTGAGACCTTACAAAGCAAACTTTTCAAGACTACCTTACAAATTTATCTTTTTCTATAATCTTTTTCAAGACTACCTTATGCTTTTCAAGCTTGGCTACATACCACTTACAGGTACTAAAGCCAAGGATGTACATAAGTGTGTTATTTGCACGCACACAGAATGACAAAACAGGAAGCGAAAATCTATCTGTACTTGGTGCAATGAGAGTGAAGTCGCACTGTGTATCATGGACTGCTTCTTTGATTATCACTCACTTCCAAAGTACTGAGTAATTACCTAAGTAATTACCTCAGTGTAGTTACAGGATGAGAGCTACTCTCGTGGTGTCCTATCTCCCCAGCACTCTGTCATATAATGCTTTGAAATTACTGACGGTTTTGGCCTCCACCACCTTCTCACTTAACTAGTTCCAACCGTCTACCACTCTGTTTACAAAAGTGAATTTTCGTATATTTCTCCGGCAGCTTTATTTCGTTAGTTTAAATCTATGACCTCTTGTTCTTGAAGTTCCGGGTCTCAGGAATTCTTTCACTACCAATTTTATCGATTCCTGTTACTAATTTGAACATAGTGATCACATATCGCACTCTGTTTACAAAAGTGAATTTTCGTATATTTCTCTTTATCGTTAGTTTAAATCTGGTTCTTTTCTCAGGCATTCCTGTTACTAATTTGAACATAGTGATCTTGCATAACTTCTCTCTTCATAGCACTTGTCCTTCAGTTCTAGGAGCCACTTAGTAGCATGTCGTTGCACCTTTTCCAGTTTGTTGATGTGCTTCTTAAGATATGGGTACCATACAACCGCTGCATATTCCAGCTTTGGTCTAATAAAAGTCGTGAACAATTTCTTTAGTATTTCTCCATCCATATATTTAAAAGCAATTCTGAAGTTAGAAAGTGTAGCATAGGCTCCTCGCACAATGTTCTTAATGTGGTCCTCAGGTGACAATTTTTTTATCTAGAACCACCCCTAGATATCCCTTTCTTTATAAGAATTCTTTAAAGATTTCTCACATAATTTATAGGTTGTGTGGGGTCTATGTTCTTCAATTCCACATTCCATAACATGGCATTTATTCACATTAAATTCCATTTGCCAAGTGTTGCTCCATATACTTATTTTGTCCAGGTCTTCTTGAAGGGCATGAGAATCATCTAAGTTTCTTATCTTCCCTATTATCTTAGCATCATCAGCAAACATGTTCATGTAATTCTGTATTCCCATTGGTAGATCGTTTATGTAGACAATGAACATTACCGGTGCAAGAACTGAACCCTGTGGTACTCCACTCGTGACATTCCTCCAATCCGATACCTTGCCTCTGATTACGGCCCTCATTTTTCTGTCAGTTAGGAAATTTTTCATCCATGTTAGAAGCTTACGTGTCACCCCTCCAATATGTTCCAGTTTAAAGAACAACCTTTTATGGGGAACTCTGTCGAAAGCCTTTTATAGGGCCAGATAGATGCAGTCACCCCAACCATCTCCTTCCTGTAAAATCTCTATGGCTCGATCATAAAAACTGAATAAGTTTGTTACGCATGATCTTCCAGATCGAAAACCATACTGTCTGTCTGATATTATATCGTTTTCCTCCAGGTGTTCTACCCATTTAGTTTTAATTATTTTTTCCAATATTTTGACTATTACACTTGCCAATGATACAGGTCTATAATTAAGGGGGTCTTCCCTGCTTCCACTTTTGTAGATTGGAACTATGTTAGCCTTTTTCCACACATCAGCTACATGTTACTGTGTAAATAGTATGTGAAACTGTACATGTTGTAATTTTAGTGAATTTTTAACAAGTAATACTGCGACAATAAACATTTTTTGTAGACACATTACTGAACATGTATCACAGTTCCATGGAACATTATGAACATTCTACTGTAAACATATTGTAAAGGACACAAATATACATCATATATGATAAAGAAAAATAAAACCGCATTGGAAATACATTGAACAAATAATTTAAAATATATTTGTGGGAACTCGCGGTACTGAATGGCCCGCGCAACTGCTTCCGGGAGCTTCGCGCAAGCACAGGCGACCAGCCCGTGATGCCCCCTTCTCCATGTCCCCACAGCCAAAGTAAGTGGATTTTTTATATTTTTTTATATGTACGTGTTCAGGGATGGAAATTTATCATTTTACAAGGTTGAAAAAATGTTTGTGAACACTTGATTTTATGCACACAGAGGGAATATCACAATAAACTCTGCACATTACAGTGGTTAAACAAAACTGAAATACAGATAACTATTATGTGTACCTTAAATGCCTGGCAGCTTGTAGGCCAAAAATTGTGATTAAAAAATAGTACAGTAGAGATATTTTTCAGAAAAGTGGAATTAATTTCATGCAATTTAGAGAAGTTGTTTCCGAGTATATACAATTAGTTGCAAAGGTAAGATAATATAAATAATAACTCAAAATGGAAACACACCGTTAAATAAAAATATAATTAAAATTAAAAAGGACATTACTACTTTGAAAAAAAAAGTCATAAAAGCAAAAAATGTAAACAATAGTTAAGAAAAAAGATGCATTGAAACAATTTGATGATATTTGATTTATACTTTACAAGACGTTCACTGATATGTTGGTACAGGAAGTAAAATTTAGTAAGAGTGGAGAGTGAAGAAAGCTTGTGAGTGATACCTGGGTCGGTGAGGGTGAAGGGAGAGCTGGGAGAAGTAGGGAATGTGATACCTGGCTGGGTGAGAGCTTGAAGTCCCGTCGTACTGCCACCTGTCATGGCCGCCAGTGATGCTAGGTTCTGCACGTTCATACCCAACCCTGTACATAAACACACAACACCACCAAAGTTAGTCATGCACACTGGTTCACATATTAACTATGGGGAAAACAAACTTTGTCACTGGTGAAGTTTAAACTATAATAGTGATTATACTGTACGTATATTTTGCATATAATTTAACCAAATTTAAATTGTCCAAATCAGTTGGGATAAGTCTTTGCACCAAACTGATTTTAAACCTTAGCAGACATTACACCCAATTTGAGTATAAAACTAGTGTTGAATGTAATGAAACTGCAGTTTCTGGGTGAGCCCCGGAAGCTCCCTGAAGCTATCCTACTGATATAATACTATCCTATTTGGTATTATCAGTCACAGAGGTCTTGTTGCCTACTGGAGACCACAGCACTGTCCATCTAGTCCCCCCCCCTTCATTAGCACCACCTCCCCCATCCTCATGAAGAGGAAGGGGGGGGGGGGAGTGAAAGCTGGCCTGGGTGAGCCAGGCTACCCACCCTCCAGTTCTTGAATGATGAAAGCCACTGACCGGAGGGAGAGAGGGAGGGGGTCAAGATGCCTCCGAGGCTCCCCCCAGAAACTGCCATTTCATTACATTCAATGCTGGGATTTCTGTTGGGAGCTATGTAGTCTCCCTGAAGCTAACTATTATACCCACAGAAAAAAAAAATAGGGACTCACCAGGGAGGTGGGAACACCACAGGTCTCAATGCGAGGAAGACAAAGACAGCTGTGACATACGCCCCAAAGAAACACAAGGCTGCAGAGTGCCCAGGACATTTACGAGATATCTGGTGACCAGGCCCCTGTTTGACCTCCAAAACCTCTGCACCCAAAACGTGTCCCAAGACATATCACCAAAGACAGCCAAAAAAGTGGCATACAGGTACCTCCTAACATCATGGGCATGAGGGTAGACAGCAGGCTGGCTAGACTTAATGATACTGCGGACAATCTGAGACACACGAGCCCTGAAACAGGGAACCAGGGAAACCGGATCAACCCAGAGAGTGTACACCAACATAGAACCGGTGGTCCACAGGTAGCTATCAGACACAGCATGTGATGCACCCACGGCTGAACCAACCATGCATCCACAACCAACGAACCCATCCAAAAGCATGCCATCTCATTCTTCGCCAGACAAAAAATGAGCAGACTGCAAACAAACAAAACGACTACCTGGACCAAATGAACAAAACCCCCGATGCCGAAAAAGAGCATTAAGGTCCTTAACCCGACCCCCAGAGGCCAAAGCCAACAAAAACAAAGCCTACTAAAAGCAATCACAAACCGAAGGATCAGGTTTCCCTTCACCAAAAACCGAGGTGAAGATAAAAGGAAAAAACCCGGTCCAGAGACCAAGAAGGCTAAGGTGGCCACCATGAGCAGGCCGGAAGTAAAAAAATGCACGAGAAAACTTGCTAAACGAGGCATAAGTGACATCCACCTCGAATGCAAGCTGCAGCAGCTCCGCCAAAACTACACGTTATGAAGCGACAGTATTCAGCATGAGATGCCGATCCAGGAAAGTCCAAAAGAGAAAGCACAAAACAACCGTGTCTGACACCGACAAAGAGAAAGAAAATGGTGGAAAGCCTGCCAAGAAACCTTTTCCTATTGCTGAGAAGAAGATTGCAGGTGGGACACCATCAAAGAAGTCAGCAGATCACCGTACAAACAACAATACACACGCGTCAGAAAATCAAGATGCATATTGTGGAGGAGAAAGTTGAACCAGCAAGGTATCATACCGGTCAGACTTGCTGAAAGAGGCGGAGCCACAGAAAAACGCCCAAATTCGGACACCCAGCAAGCAGCGCCTGAAACCAAGGCTGCGCCAGCCACCTTGGCGCCAGGAGAATCACCCTCCCACTATAGGATTCAAGCCGAGCCAGAACCCGAAGTAACAGCTGGACTGGGGAAAAGGGCACAGAAACCCCCACCTCGACCAGTCCAACCAAAAAGTGTCCACTGCGAGACCCTCACAGTCGAAGAACAGCACCACATACACAGGAAGATGCCGAAACCAAACTGATTAGAAGAGGTCCAACTCTAGGCGCCCGTACATCTGGCAAAGCCAAAAGAAGGAAGCTGTGTTGACCATCCACTCCGTGGAAAGAGGAATGAAGCGAGACAGGGCATCTGCCAGGACGTTGGACACTCCCTGAATGCGAATGGCGTGGAGAGCTAAGCCCCGAGAACTTAGCAAAACAGCTACTCGAAGCAACCAGTTCCAAACAGCAACGGACCAAAGCGACCCACCTCCGAGTTGATACAACGAACCACAGGGAAGCACTCGAATGGAGCCGGATCACCGATCCCCGAGGAAGCCAAATCCTCAGTAGCGCCAGGATTACAGCCATAAACTCCCACACTGTACTGTGAGTCTGACACATGGACAGCTGCCGACGCACCTGACCAGATGGTGAGCATTGGTCACAAAGCCCAACAGACAGATGCGGCATTCATGAACACATTGAGTTAGGAAGGAGGAAAGCTTCATGACATTGAACCCCCAAAAACCCCAAAGAGGAAGCCGGTGACGCAACAACTGGCACAAGGACGCTGAGGGACAAACCCAGCACTCGCAAGAGCATTGAAAGAGGCTGCCTCGTAGATTTCAGGGAACAGGTAAGGACAGGTAAGAACCCAACATATATGGAAGGGCTAAGCCGGGCACTGCAAGACGGGCAAGGAATAAGTAATCCAGATAAGACCACGAAAAACGGGGCTGTGACCCCCCCCTTGTAACAAACACAGACGAAACAAGAAGGCCCCAGGAAGAAGCACGGAAGGGCCAAACAAAATGCCATAACCAATCCCCAACACGCATCCACAGTATGAAAACTGCAACAAAACGTCACCTCATAACATCCTGACACAGTAACATTCACCCCATCACATTCACCCCACCATTGTACCTCGTAACATAGTGGAGGTGGGCCCCCCAAGAGTGACTCAAGCATGGGTTGGACATGCATACGAGTGGGACTGGATGGGTAGAATTAGGAGCTGCCTCGTATGGCCCAATAGGCCTTCTGCAGTCATCTGTGTTCTGATGTTCTTATATTCATATCCAAAAACCACGAACCAGCAGAACGTAGGCATGAACGTGTAAAGACACAATGTAGCCGAGAAGATTCCGGGAGCACTGCCAGTGGAAGAAGGCGAGAGCCGCACATGCAGGAGAAGAGTAGAGTAGAGGAGAAGGAGATGCCCCCGCACCCATACGTAGGGAAAACCCGGCATCCTTCCCATAGCGGCAATCCAGAACACCCCCAGTAGCTACGGGGCATGGACTGGAGAATGGAGAGAAGCGAGAGGCGAAGCACCCGAGAAAAAAGGACGCAGAACGAAAAGGACGAAAACTCGCCCATACCAAAACAAACTAACACGGAGCATGCGTAGGCAGGGATGCCAGATGTGAGGTGCTGGAAGTCACAAGCTGAAGAAATAAAATCACAAATTTGACTATAAAACTAGACCAAATATTTTTGTTAACGATGGAATTCCATTGCAGAGTACACAGTCCGCTTATCTTAACAGTAGCCAAAAAGAGTAGTAAGTAGCAAAACATACATAGCTGGCTTTTCACTTGGGCCACAAGCAGCCCAACCGGGCCACAAGCAGCCCAACCGGGCCGCAAGCAGCCCAACCGGGCTGCAAGCAGCCCAACCGGGCCGCAGGCAGCCCAACCGGGCCTCAGGCAGCCCAACCGGGCCACAGGCAGCCCAACCGGGCCACAGGCAGCCCAACCGGGCCACAGGCAGCCCAACCGGGCCACAGGCAGCCCAACCGGGCCACAAGGAGCCCAACCGGGCCACAAGGAGCCCAACCGGGCCACAAGGAGCCCAACCGGGCCACAAGGAGCCCAACCGGGCCACAAGGAGCCCACCGGGCCACAAGGAGCCCAATCTGGCAAGACAGGAGGTCCGAAACGCACAACCCGCTCAGCGGGAAGGCACCAACTAGGAATATTGAAAGAAAATGAGCAGTGCCGAGACAGAGCACGGAGAGAAGATACAATCACAAAAGAACGAAACAGGACCAAAAACCGAAAAGAAGCACAGAAGAGGACCAAACAGCTCTAGCAAGGACTGGAGGGAAGCCACCGAAAGACGACAGACATTCCAATAATACAGGTAGCAGCAAAAACCTTCTCGAACCTTCAAGAACATATAGAATCAAGCACAAAGCACGAAGGCACATAAAGGCACACTCGCACCTAGACCAAAAGTCATGCAGAACCCAGAGAAGAGGGGAACATGACGGTGAAGGCCCGTCCCAAGAAAATGGGTGAATAAACGGAGAAAAGAACCCACCGACAGGATCTAACCGACGGATCCAAGGGACAAGGAACCGAACCGGGGGAGGGGCAGACACCCAACAACACGCACGGAGACTGGGTAACCGAGTCACAAACAAGCAACAAAACTTGTAGGACTCCAGGTCATAGGTGCCACCAACCCCACAAACAGCAGACGGAGGCAAAGACAGTGAGAGTCACCCTGAGACAAGGGAACAGAGCAACCCTCAAACTCGCATGAAGCGAGGGGGGAACCCAGGGTCACATCCATTGGACCACGCATCCCCGTGGGAATTCCCAGGATCCTGAGATGGAAATCATGCTCAGGGAAGCCCAGGCAGAGTACTGCAAACCGGCACCCATGTCTACCATGTCTGGGACGCGTACACTCACGGGGACCTAGCAGGGAAAACCACCAGAAGGAGGAAGAGTACTCAGTACACAGGGGGCAAAAATAAGGCAGACTCACCACCAGGCAGACAAACAAAAAGAAAAAGAAAACTCCGCAAGAGGACAGTGTACCCAGGCGGAACAGAGCCGGCCGCTATGATTGGTGAAAACAAGCTGCACAGTACCCTGCGCCCCAACCAGTGCAAACTGCCCCTTACCCTAAGGCAAACAAGGGAGACAGAACATCCTAGCACACAAAGGGCGGCCAAAAACCAAGCATTAAACAGCCTAGCAGAGGCAGAACCCAAGGAACTTGTGGAAGGTGGCCCCCAAGCTCCAAGGGCAGTACTTACAGGGCACCTAGGGAAGGAAACCCTAGGCGCATGCAGCCCAAGTACTGGAGAATCACTCCCGGCTCATGCATCACCTAGCAGACAGTCACCACATACTAGGTACAGTGCTAAAACAACCACCGGAGCTGGAGCACACGACCTTTGCCTCTACCTTTGCCTTAGAACTGAAGGGTGGATAGCTGGCATGGGGGTCTGGGGCTTCCCCTTCCTCCCTATGCAGACAACGTGTGACATCATGCTCGTTTGATTGTTTCTTTTGGGGAGTTCTATCCACTTGTTCGGCTTTTGGTAGCAATTTTCACCAGAATAGGGGTTTGTTCTGGGACGCTTTCTGGGTGCATGACCCGGTCGATGGCAGACATAGAATGCTTCCAACCACACAAGGGTTTCTATAGGCCATTGCTCCCCTTGCCTCATCTGAGGGGGCCAGGTTCTGGCTTGTGGTCCCTGGTAGGCCCACCGAACTCCATACACATGACTGATGCCAAAGTCTGACATTAGTATATCAGCCTGGAAAGCTCCGGGGAGCCGACGGGGCTCCCCCCAGAAATAAGATATAATTTTCCCCACTCTGTTCTTCTCACACTATACTACTCAATAATATATCCCTATCTCATTTACAGTATATGAGCATGAGCTTCAACTACTACAAACTACCTCAAGCCCATCATCATCCTTACAAAAGTCAATTATTATAACAAATTTTGATTTTAGACAACATGTAGGCCCTTAGTTTAAATCCTCTGAACATGCTAAAAATACACTCAATCTACACATTTTCTTGTGCCATTTACACTTACAAAACCTGATTCTTAAATTCTAATCCTGTTTTGAAACCCTTCCTAGATGGATGTAACAGAACCCACGAACATCACACCAGAAATAAACATGTTTTTGATACTCCCAGTCAGCCTGGGAATATCAACTGCAAATATATGCAAATAAAAGGACCCAATATATGGAAATCACTCCCTAATGAATTAAAAAAAAATTCAACCTACACTTTATTCAAAAGTAAAACAATGAAGTACCTAATTTCATCTTCATAGTATTTCCCTTGTGCTACTAACTCACCCAATATATTACAATCTTGAAACATAACTTCATCAGAATAGCTTATTTTGTTACTTTATATAGAGGTATTACAAACTGCAGCTCTGCGTAAAATAAATTATTGTAAGTGAGGAATATCATGTACACGCTATCTAAACTGAAAAAAAGATGAAATACAGTAATGCATTAAATTGTTATTTACCTGTGTTTTGTGAGCTCATGGAAGCTAATAATCCCTGAAGATTTGTATCCTGGGAACCATTAGTTGAAGTAGGCAGATTGAGGCTGCCTAGAGACCCCAAACCACTCAGACCTAAGGAATGAGAGCCTGTTGATGAATTAAGGCAACATATTAGAAATTCTATATTATCTTTATAATTTGTAAAACAAAATGGTAATAACCATGGTTTTCCTTCACATTCAAATAACTGAATGGTTATACTTCAGGCAGACACAAACAGGATGTAGACAATAATTTGTATGGTTTTCTTGACTCCATCCTTGTTCAGACTCCTCCCACATGAAGGATGTGGGAGGAGAGACCTGTGTGCAGCTGGCTCTCCCCTCTATTATTATATACAGTATATAGGTCAGCAAAAGGTCTTGGGTTCAATTCTCACAGAAGAGTTTAGGCAATGTTTCTTTTTGCTTAATGACTGTTCATCTAGCAGTAAATGGGTATCCAGGAGTTAAGCAACTGTTTTACTTTGCATCCTAGAATTAGGCCCTAACAGATTTCCTGTACCCAACTATTAGAAATCAAATTGTAAGAAAGCATGGAGACCTCACCTTCAGAAAGGTATAGCTACTGTGGAGAATGTTCAACACCAGGCAACAAAAATCATTGCAGAACTAAATTGCCTCTCATACCAGGAAACGTTGAGGGCCAGAGAGCTAACAATACTGCAAACCAGACACCACTGCAAATAGGACTGATCTCATTGAAACTTTTAAAATACTGAACAATTTCAAGGATATTGACCCAGACATCCTCTTCAAAAGGTCAGATATAACAAAAACAAAGAATTGGTTTCAAGGTCGACAAATCATAATGTACGTCAGAAAACAGGTGGTGTTTTTCACGAATAGGGTTATAAACCCATGGAACCACCTATTCACCAAAGACGTAGATGCCAGGTAAATAAATTATGAAACCTTGTATTACAAAGAACTTCCAGTCCAGAATTTCAGGGAGGGTGAGCACTAACAAGCAGAAGGCTAGTTGGACAAAGCGTTGTTTGTTTTCTTTCTGGGGGGGAAGTTCCTTTGCTCTTTTGATGTAGTGACGTAGGTCACACTTTTCAACCAGACAGTGGTCTGTTTTGTTCATCTAATCTTTTGGGTGCTTTCCCTGGTCGATGGCAAGTATAATATACTGTACTTTAAATGTAAAGTGTTCATAGGTCATTGCTTCCTGCACCTCTCTGAGGGGGCCAGGTTCTGGATCTGGTTCCCAGTAGGCAACAAGAACTCTGCGACTAATGACCCCAAATAAGATAGCACTATATTAGTAGGAACGCTTAAGGGAGCCTACAGGGCTCCCCACAGAAAAGCTAACCAAACCCTTGGAATAATCAAACATACCTTTGACTTTAAGGAAAAGACGGTGATGATTCAATTGTATAAATCTATAAATATTTAGATTACTGTATCCAAACATGGAGACCACATCTTCAGAAGGACATAGCTGCTTTGGAGAAAGTGCAACACCAGGCAACAAAATTAATTCCAGCGCTAAGTCAACTCCCATATTAGGATCAGCTTAGGGCCACAGGGCTAACAACACTGCAAACTAGGCATGACAGGGCATATCTCATTGAAACTTTCAAAATACTGAACAATTTAGATGATGTTGATCCAGAAAATTTCTTCAAAAGGTCAGGTGTAACACAAACAAGGAGCAACAGTTTAAAGCTCAACAAGTCACAATGTAGGACTGAAAATAGAAGATGCTTTTTCACCCACAGGGTTATAAACCCATGGAACCGCCTACCCGCCAAAGCCGTAAATGCCAAAACACTAAAATTTTAAAGTACAACTGGAAAAGATCATCAAAGGCAACTGGGAGGACCTTCAACAAGCCGCCGACTTCTTGTCCTCATCGAGCCCACTAGTGTTAGTGGCCCTCAGGTTAATCAGGTAAAGTACAAGTTGCAATACAATAAATAGCCAGAGATAAATTTACCACAATACCATTTGAAATTATAAAATAGTTTATCTTAAACCTTTACAAAAAAAAACTGAAACAAATTTACCTGCTGAGTCAAACATCTGTTGAGTTGCCAAGTTTCCCTGTGAGGCTGCCAAGAGTTGCTGTACACTAACATTATTAAGGGAAGGCAGTTGTTGAAGACTACCTAGCTGGTTTGCTAGACTGCCAGCTGTTGCACCTGAACCAGCTGAGCTGCCCACCTGCTGCTGGAGCAACTGTAAGTACGCCTGAACATTAAACAACGTTAATTTATAATTTCAAGCTCCCATTTCTTTGAGTAAAAATAAATTTGATGGAAAGGGAGTATCTAAAATAATAATAATAATAATAATAATAATAATAATAATAATAATAATAATAATAATTAAAACAAAATAATCAGTGGAAAATATTAAACTGGTAGCAGAAAAACTGTAAAATCAAATGGTTAAACAACTTCCACATAAATTGGATTAGTTTGTTACTCTTCTCTCCTGGTTCAGAGAAGATAAAAAAAAATATAAAAGTGCTTTATTCTTGAATTCTTTCATAATTATATCATATTATAATTGAGAGAGATATTAATTAATAGTAAAACACACATCCTGCTACAAATTTGCACGCAACTTAAAGTAACACAAGAGACAGGAGACAGGAGACACCTATGGTCCCAAATTGAAATGTGTTACATAAAAACCTTATATCCAAGAGAAAATAAGGGAAGAAATTGCATGCAAAATATTTACTTAGTAACCGATGGAAAGTAGTTCATAAAACGATGAAAAAAACACCGAGTTAATACAAACGCTCCATTCAGATCTGAACTATTCAGCTGCTCCCTCAGGTAAAATGCTATGGATATTAGAGCATGTAGTCAGACAAGTGTGACATGCAGCATGTGCCACAGGCAAATTTCAAGCATTATTGCAAGGTCAATTTTGTGTTGTGGAAATGACTACACAAATTAATCAATCCATCTCAGAACTAAGCATTGAGAGGTCAAAACATGAAAAACCAGCGTTGAATGTAATCAAACGCCATTTTCTGGGTGAGTTCCGGAGGCTCCCTGGAGCTATCCAGGCTGAATGAATATGTATATCTTTCAGGCATCAGTCAATGCACGGAGGTCTTGCCTTCCGGTTCTGACCAAGAGTCAGTACCTGGCCCCCCCTCTAGAGAGGCACAAGGAACAATGGCCTATAAAGATCCCCCTGTGGTTGGGAGCATTCCATGTCTACCATCGACCGGGAAAGGCACCCAGAAAGATAGGTGCCCCAAAACAAACCCCTATTCTGGTAAAATTATTGCGACCGAAGGCTGAACAGGTGGACAGAACTCCCCAAACGAAAATTAGCGAACTAGCATGACGTCATCATGTCGCCGCACCGCTGTCTGAGCAACGCTTCCCCCTCCCCAGGAGGGGAAAGGAGGAGCCTCAGACCCATCCGCCAGCGAACCAACCCACAGTTCTTAGGCTGGATGTCAAAAACCGCAAATAACCAGCGTTGAATGTAATGAAACGCCATTTTCTGGGTGAGCCACGGAGGTTCCTTGGAGCCTATTGGGCTAATGTATGTTATATTAGACTGGGACATTAGCCAAGGAGTTCAGACCTACCATGGACCAGCGCCAGAACCTGGCCCCTTCAGAGAGGTTTCAGGGAGCAATGGCCTTGGAAAACCCCCTTGTGGTTGGGGTTTTCCTTATCTGCCATCGACTGGGGTTAGACACCCAGAAAGGTAGGCATAACAAAACAAACCACATATGGTAAAAAACTCCGTCACACTTTACTGCCGCGCCGATCGTCCACGCAGCCCTCCCTGCCCCGAGAGGGGGAGGGGGAGCCCCGGACCTCACTGCGCCGGCTGCTTAGCATCAGTTCGGAAGCTAAGCTTCAACCAACGCGAAAAAACTGCCGACCGGTGGGAGGGAGGGTTGCCAGGGAGCCTCCGGGGCTCACCCAGAAAATGGTGTTTCATTACATTCAACGCTGGTTTTTTGTGGGGAGCTCCTATGGCTCCCTGGTGCTTCATACCCAAAGAGAAGGAAAAAAAGGGCTGACCCGGGAGGCGGCCACCACAAACTCCGCAACGCAAAGCCGAGACAACAGGCTGCAACCTGCGACCCAAGGCAACAAGAACGCACAGGAGCAGACACGCGCATATAGAATGGGCGGCCAGGAACCTGTGCGACCCTCAAATCCATGTGCCCGAAATGAACCCTAGACGTCACCAACACAGCAGTGAAAGCTGCAAACATCCAAACAGCATGGGCGCAAGGACAGACCGCAGGCTGGAAGACTTAAAAATTCTGCGGACGACCTGGGAGACCCGAGCCCTGAAACCGGGAACGAGGGGAACCGATTCAACCCAAAGCGCATCCCCACACACGGCCCACAGGTAACGGCAAAAAAGCACAACCGGACAACACAGGACGCACCCCCGGCCAAACCAATCACGCATCAAAAACCCAAGGACCCCCCCCAGAAAGCAGCCGTCTCGACCGTCGCCAAAAGGACGGAGAAAGGCTGCAAACATACAAACCTACCACCAGTACCAAAGAGCAGAAACCTGAACCGAAGGGGCTACCACAAACTGAAGAGAAGATAAGAGGGCACCCTGATCAAGGACCAGGACAGCTCAGGCGACGCATGAGGAGGTCGGAGGTGAAACAAAACACGAGAAAGCGTACGGAACGGGGCAGATGTGACATCCACCCCGAACACAAGCATGAGCGGCTCCGCCAGCGTCGCATAAAATGAGGCAACAATAAGAAACATCAAATAACTGTAGTCTTGAAAACATAAGATAGGACAAGACAACCCGGAGCAAAAGAGAAGACAACTACTAAGAGCAAGAAAAAAGGTGCATAGAAACACCAGGAACGTCATACTATCGCCGAGACGAAGCTCGCAGGTGGGACACCGTCAACAAAGTCACCTGATCACCACAGAGATGGTGATACCCGCGTCAAAATATCAGACACGAATAGCCGAGGAGAAGGCCGAACCAGTCACGTACAGGACCGGTCCGACCTACCGAAAGAGGTGGAGCCGCGGGAAAACGCCCTGGGTTCGGACACCTATCGAGCAGCGTCTGAAAATAAAGCTGGGCTGGCCACCAAGGGACCATAAGGACAACTCTCGTGGGAATGACCTCCAACCAAGCCAGAATCCAAAGCAACAGCTGAAACGGGAGAAGAGTAACAGGTACCCCCAAATCGAACAGTCCTGCCGAAAGCCATCCACCTTGAACGCCTCGCAGGCGGGTAAGGGCGCCACATAGAATGGGTAACGCATAGACCACGCTGACTCGAAGATGTTCATGGCCAGGAGTCCATACGTCCGGCAGAGCCAACGAAACAAGTCAGTGAGGACTGACCAATCCAGGAACAGAGGAATGAACCGAGACAGCTGTCCGCCAGGACGTAGGACACACCCCGGACATGAACCTCACGGTTAGCCAAACCCCGAGAATCCAGCAAACAAGCCACTCTAAGGGAACAACCTCACAGGTCAAACACCTAAGAGAAACTCTGTGGTTCCGGCAAAGAACTGCCAGAGAACAGTCCGAATGGAGCTGAATGGTAGAGCACCGAGTGACCCGAACCAACAGACGTAGACCCCAAGGTGACTTGCGGAAGATAACCCCAAGCCCCAAGGGAAGTACTTACAGAGCACTTAGGGAAGGGAACCCTAAGTGCATGCAGCCCAAGTACCAGTGAAGATTACTCCCACAACTTTGAAGACAGTACTAAACACAAGGCACAGCACTGAGACAAGAAACAGGAGCTGAAGTCACATGACCAAGCCTCAATCACATCAGCCAAGAATTGAAGGTGTGGGTAGCTGGCATGAGGGGTCTGGGGCTCCCCCTTTCCCCTCCTGGGGGAGAAGGGAGCTGCGCAGACGGCAGCGCCGCAACGTAGTGACATCATGCTTGTTTTTCTTTAAGGAGTTCTGTCCACTCGTTTGACTTTTAGTAGTAGTTTCAACCAGATTAGGAGTTTGTTTTGGAATGCTTACCTTTCTAGGTGCCTGACCTGTTTGATGGCAGACATAGAATTCTCCAAATCACTTGTGCAATTCTATAGGCCATTGCTCCTCGTGCCTCTATGAGGGGGCCAGGTTCTGGCTTGTGGTCCCCGGTAGGCCTAGAACTCCACCCACATTGACTGATGCCAAAGTTAGGGATAATCATATCAGCCTAGATAGCTCCAGGGAGCTGAAGGGGCTTCCCTCAGAAAAGGAGCTGAATAAATGTTAGAAAGTCTTCTTTTGCAAACAGAGTGGTAGACAGACAATGAGTCAAAATAATGTGGGCAAAGATATGATGACCAAACCACATCAGAAAATGGATGTTGTAGTTTATCCACTCCGTTTACCATGACACAGAATGGTAGATGGTTGGAACAAGTGAGAAGGAGGTGGATACCAAAACCGTCAGTAGTTTCAAAGCATTATGTGACAAAGAGTACTGGGAAGACAGGACACCATGAGTTTAGCTCTCATCCTGTAACTACACTTAAAGTAATTACATACACACACACTTACGAAGTTACACACATAAACACATACACACCATAATCACCAAAATATTTAAAAATTTGTACTGTACAGTATATGTATAAATAATTTATACATGACAAATATAAATTTCAGATTTAGATATGAGGATTTAAGACAAAATAATTCAAACAAGAAAAAATCAAAGTGGAAAAGGGCACAGCACTTGAATAATAATTACTTACAAATTATTCACAATGCTTCTACTGCTAGTTCATATAAAAGAAAAACACCATCCTGGGTTAATATTCTAATAAATTATTCATAATTTTTATGTTGTCATCTACTAATTCATGCAAATTTTATGTACGATAACATCTGATTTAGGGTATTAACAAAATACTGAAATTATAGCTTTAAGCTTTGGCTAATTCTAAAGATCAAGTTTCTTTTTAGCCAGGAAAAAATGGTTTTAAATAATTGTAATCAAATCATTGCATTATTTTGAAGAACTGCCATGTATACCTAATTATATGTTACTAGAACAATAAATGTCTAGGAAAACATGGGATCATAAAAAATCTTAAGGTAATACAGATTATCGTACAACACTGAGGAATGTCATAATAAGGAGTTTGGAAACTTCATTTAAGAAAAAATACATGTCTTCTCTGGGAAAAGCATACTGCGTCATAACTAATGTAAAGTGATTAATAAAACAATTTTGCTACACTCATCAAAAGTACAGTAGTTGTATACAGTAAACAGTACTGTATAATGACCAAAAAAACCAGCATTGAATGTAATGAAACGTCATTTTCTGGGCGAGCCCTGGAGGCTCCCTGGAGCTTATTGGGCTAATGTATGTTATATTAGACCGGGATACTAGCTATGGAGTTCAGATGTACCAGGGACAATGAGCCAGAACCTGGCCCCTTCAGAGAGGTTTCAGGAGCAATGGCCCTGGAAACCTCCCCCGCCCTCTGTGGTTGGGAGTTTTCCTTATCTACCATCGATCGAGGTTAGGCACCCAGAAAGGTAGGCATAACAAAATAAACCCCGAATGGTAAGAAACTAACAACAAAAACCGAACAGAGGTAGAACTCCCAACAATCCCAAGGAAACAAGCAAGCAAGTAAACGTAACACACTACTGTCGCGCTGCTCGTCCGCACAGCCCTCCCCTTCCCAAGAGAGGGAGGGGGGGGGCTCAGACGGGAAGATAACCCTGTTATCAGGGAAGATAACCCTGTTACACAGGGGCAGTACTCGCATGGCGCTTTGGGAAGGAAGCCCCCCTAAGCTCATGCAGCCCCGGTACTGATGAGGAACACCTGGCCACCGCACAACACAAAACACGGCAGTGAGTGCCACGAAGGCAAACACCGCCCAGAAAACTGAGGCCAGAGAAGCGGCTGTCCCGGTTGACATTAGATTTCGAACTGGAGTGCTATGCAGCTGGCGCGGTGAGGTCTGCCCCCCCCCTTCTTGGGGAGGGGAGGAAGGTTGCGTGGATGAGCTGTGCAGCAGTAGTGTGTTACATTTGCTTGTTTCCTTTGGGAATGTAGGGAGTTCAACCTCTCTGTTCGGTTTTTGTTGTTAGTTTCTTACATGTAGGGTTTGTTTTCTTATGCCTACCTTTCTGGGGAGCCTAACCCCGGTCGATGGCAGCTAAAGAAAACCCCAACCACAGGGGGGGGGGGGTTCCAGGGCCATTGCTCCCTGAAACCTCTCCGAAGGGGCCAGGTTCTGGCTCATGGTCCCTGGTAGGTTTGAACTCCATAGCTAATGTCCTGGTCTAATATAACATACATTAGCCCGATAAGCTCCAGGGAGCCGTAGGGGCTCCCCTCAGAAGTGTGGATGTTCACCTTCAAAAAGTAAATACAGTAACTCAGCATGTTTCCATACCCTTACTCAACAAAATATTCACATCAAGTAATGTTTAATTCAAGTTAGACAACAATTTGAAGGAATTTAATAAAAGCACAAGCAACTCATGCCTTACAGCATCCTGCCAATAAGGCGAGTTAGTCTCACTGTATGACAAGTCAAAGAGGCGATATCCACCTGACACTATCTACAATGCATCACAACATTAAATGTAGAAGAGCTCTATTTGCTTCTATAGACCCCTTGCACTGGGGTCAAACAATACTGTGCTCAAATTATGTCTAAGGCATCAAATGTGAATAATCTGCATGGGTGGCTCCAGATTTAACCATGTCCAAATTGCTGTACAGAGGTTTGATTATTGCTGTGATGTAAAAACTGTCATCCTCAATGCTAATACTCCCAATACAGTTCATTATCCACCATGACACTGTAAACATAATAATAGATAGACACAATTGTCATTTTATTCCCCACCCAAGTTATTGCATGATGTGACAGGCAAGGCCTCAATACATTAAATTTTAACATTTAAAACAAATGCAAAAGAGCATCACACTCACAGCCAGATACTGAGGCCCAAGTGCGACCAGGTTGTTAGCAGAGGAAACGCTCTCTCTTCCGCGCTCTCTCTCTCTCTTCAAGCAGACAGAGAAACACTTAACAATAATCACCTCTAACTCAACTATTCTTGTGTAAATAAAAAAAAAAAGATGGCAATGTGTATAAATCTGCAAACTCATACCTAACTTTGTAAAAATGATCAAGATTAATGGAGGTATAGCATCCTTAATTATCTCAATCAAATAATATTATGAAACCACTTTAGGAGCAAATTTATATTTGAGATGGATGAAAAGTCTCTGAGTTCTAGTTCACTATATAATGGATGAACACTGGAATTGCATTATTCTATACAAAATTATATCTACAGGTATATAAATAATGGGGTTTATACAAGAGGTTATAATAGGTGCTGGCACTAAATGCAATAATGAGGTTATTCATCAAATTATTAGAATTGACAGCTTTGACTTAATATTCTTAAACAGCACAGTACACATTTCATGGAAAATATTATTAATGAACAATTTTCTTATTAAACTGATGCCTAGAAATTCTTATTCTTCTCCTTACAAGAAAAGTAATTTTCATTGCATTATATTTTGGGGCAGTATTTGAGCATAAACTTCAGAGCATGGCCTCCTCAGTTGCTCATATCTAGCCATGGTCACGGGTCCAACTACATCACTGCCAGGATGCCAGGCTCTGTCGGCTATGAGACCCACCTGGACAAGTAGCTTTACCAGGGGTTTTCTTTCTTAGTCTAGAGGCAGGAAGACAGTGGAACGCAAACTTCAACCAACATGTCAAGGGCAAACTTCACTATGATGCCAAAGAACAAATAACTCTTCACCTCTTCAAAGTAATCACTGGAACTGCCAAGGTAGGCAATAACTGTTCTGAACTACAGTACTCACTACACCACCTATCACCAGGTGTTAGCACAAGCTAAAACAGGGTTAGAGAAGCTGGCTACCCTCATTATGTGCATATAGTTCATTCCACAAAGCACTCAACTTCACAGAGACTGATCCAATTGACTGGTTATTTTTTTAGATTGTCTCTATGTAGGGAATTACATGCTTTAGTATTTGCTTTACTGCATGATGCCCAGTTGTTTAGCATGTCTTTGACTCCTATTATTCACTTCAGTTTTGTTTTAGAGTTCCTTTCACTGGTGTTGAATTTTGCTGACCACTAGTCACCAGTAATATTTTCTTTACCATTGTTTGAAAGTTTTCAGTGTGATCTGATTCCTCTTGAGTTGGGTCACTGTGTCACTGTGGCACTGTGTCAACAATGTGATTGGGACTTTCTCACACATAGGTCTTGGTGCTAAGCTAATTTACACATATTTAAGATCTGCACACATTGTTTCACTGGAGTGATTACCTGGTGACTCTTCAATCAAATTTTTTGTCAGAATGTGTACTTGTGACTGGTTTATAATTTTTTTCAGGGAGAGCTTTCCCTGGTGATTTTTTTGAGCTACCAACCAAGTCAGCTCCAAACCTAATGTACCCCACTAGGTTCTTATGAGTCACAAGCATCTACCAGAGACCAGACATTTTGATCCACTCAATAGAGGAAAGGAAATCTAAGAATACTAGATCAACTCGTGCCCAAAGAAAAAACAGCAGAAAAGCAGTGTGCCCCAAAACAAACAACTGCATAGAGAACATTAACAAAACTTGACAAACTAGTTACACTTCCCCCACAAGATGGCAGCCCCAGCAACCCAGTGCTCCAGCCAGTTCCCACCTCAGCCATGTGTCTGGTGAGACTATAGTCACAACTCCTTGTGCCTCGATCAGCCTTCCTGGCTTCAGTTTCAACTAAGTGATGGCTATCCTTTAGAACTCTGTCCTACATAGGCCTGTGTTTGTATTTGTTCTAATTTTATTTTGCTTCACATGCATTTTTCCTAGCCTAGCTTTGATGTAAGCTACGAGTGTTGTTTGCCTCAACTGTGGCATAATACACTTCTATATGAGAATGAGTAAAGTACTGGAGGAAGCGCAGTCCTTGGGGACTAAGCTCTTGTCAGTGGATGGTCCAGATTTAATTAGATGTCTTTGTTGCCTAAATTTGCAGCTAGGTGAAAAAGAGGAATTAGGTGCAAGGAAACGTGCCCAATCAGTTCTGTCCTGCTCAAGATTACTGTATTTGTTAATTGTTTTGTTTGGTATATCCACAATTTCCAAAAATTTCTCAGAGCGAGTCCTGTGTCACACTTTTACTTTTGTGAGAGGTTTCATCTTGATAGTGAGTTCATCTGTGATCCCCATGTACTCTCTGCCAATTTGAATAAGCAAGATAATTTTCAGAATGGTACGTACTCCCGATGGGCAAAGATAATTACAGGAGATTGGCACATCAATAATGGACCCACAGCATCAAAGCCATAAGCTCAGAGAAACATCTAAGAATCCTGCCTAGAAAGATTTTTTGAGAAAGTAAAGATAATTTGCATATCTGTGCACTGTTCTTTCTTCACTTGCCCTAACATATTGTCTGCCTGTCTCCATGTCTTATTATACTACCCTCAACAGGTATCCTCTCTGCTCTTGTTTTATTTAATTACTGAACAGCAATACCAAATATAATTTTATAATAACTCTCTCTTCTATTTAAAAAAAAAACTTCATCAGAAAACACTCGTTTATCCCGACATTCTCAACCGATGTCTTTTCTCCGAGCTATCACATTCAGATGCTCCCTAAAGTAAGTATCTGTTGTCAAAGACAGGATTCATGTAAGTCAGGCAGGATGTCATTCAAGCAGTAGAGTGATCTATTTAGATATCTCTACACAGCCATGTAACTTGCTTGGGAGGCAGTAGACAAAAGCAAATCTGGGTTCAAGAGAGAACTTCATAAACACCTCCAAAGGATACCTGATCAATCAGGTTGTGATTCATATGTCAGGTTGCAAACAGCTGCATCCAAGAGCCTGGTTGACCATACCATAAACCAGGAGGCCTGATCAGAAATTGTACCCCAGAGACGTTGATTCTCGGATCCAACAATAGGTAAACTAGTAGTGGTCAGCATATTCAACTCATAAGTAACTGGACCTGACTTTTTCTATAGTGCCTATGTAATACCCTATATTACCCAGCAGTAATGTATAAAAAGATCTACATAACGCCAGAGCCTGAATGTCATCCTGCCTAACCATTCATAAATCCTTTACATTGAAAGCGAATTCTTATCATTATGAGCTTCCGAATATACCTGTTAAGAAAGTAACTTTCCTCATTAACTCAAAGCTCAATTTTTTCTTTTTGGTTACTCATTCACTCAGTCATTCATAAATATTTTAGATTCAGAATTAAGAAATAAAAACATAAAAAAAATTTCTCAAAGTTAAGATTTAAGTAAAATAAGATGGTTAAAAACTTCATTGTTTTATCTCACATGAAATATTTAAAGGTACCGCAACTTATGTCACTCACAGCGAGGTATTGAGGGCCAAGTGCTGCAAGGTTATTTGCCGAGGCAACGTTCCATAGGTTTTGAGTCACTTGATGGAGACGTTTTGCATCCTTTTCCTTTTGAGTGTCGGCGAATTTCACTACGAGCGGAGAAGAACAACCCTGAGGAAGAAAAGGAACAATAACAAATTTGACATTAAGAAACAAATTTAAAAGTCAATCCAAGAGAGGTGTGCATTGTGAAAATGAGAGACCTGCATATGCACATACAGGAGGTTGATTTAATTTTATAAATATTACTAATTTGCATGATACCTGTCCAGAAATATTATCTCAGCATTACCAGTATAATGCAAGTTTTTAAAGAAAAAATCCCATAAAATAATTTTAGATGTTGTTACTCTGTAAATACCATAACTTAATTTCATCCTTATCCATGTATACTTCATAGCGAGTAAACCTAAAACCCACTAAATACTGCGTATCTACTCTACTCAACAACGTAACATAATCGTATGTTACATTGGTAACAGTTCTCTGTTACAACTGTACAAATGTTTGTGTGTAAACATTCGCATATAATTTAAATTGTTGGCGACAAGAAATGTATTTAGGATTACCAAGGTCCCCTTAGGCCAATGACTGATTCTTCCCAGGATGCAACCCACAACAGTTGCCTAACTCTCAGATACATATTTTACTGCTAGGCAGACAGGAGAATCAGGTGAAGTGAAACATGCCCAACAGTTTATTAAAAAGTGTTCAGGATCTGTGTACATGCTTGTGTATAGCATTATCTAATTGTAGTAACAGGAACTATAGAGATATGCTCATTGTGTTCCATCTTTATAAATTTCATTGTAGTCAGTTCTGAAACATGCCATATTTTTAGCATACATAATCATTTTCTGAAGTTTGGTCCATTCAAATGGATGGACCAAATGGATATAGCTGCAAAAGTATATATTCTTTTTCTTTTCTACACGTTTTTATTTATGGTGATTTCTGGGGGGAAGCCCCTTCGGCTCCCCGAGCTAACCGAGCTGATATGAATGTATTAGACCCTGACATCAGTTAATGCGCATGGAGTTCTGGGCCTACCGGGAACACCGAGCCAGAACCCGTCCCCCTTCAGAGGTACGAGGAGCAATGACCTCAAGAAATCCCAGTGTGTGGTTGGAAGCATTCTATGTCTGCCATCAACTAGGTCGGGCACCCAGAAGGGTAAGCGCCCCAAAACAAGCCCCTATTCTGGTTAAAATATTGCTACCGAAAGTCGAACTAGTAGACAGAACTCCCCAAATGAAAATGAGCAAACGAGCATGATGTCACCACGTCACCGTGTCGCTGTCTGCACAAACCCCCACCTCCCTAGGAAGGGAAAGGGGGAGCCCCAGGCTCCCAAGCCAGCTATCCACCCTGCAGTTCTGTGGTTGATGTGAACTGGAAAAGTCGTACGCCTCTGACTCCTATTTTTCCGGTTCTGTGCCTTGTGGTGTGGAACTGTCTTGTGGTGGTGTGCGAGCCAGGAGTTATTTCACAAGTACTCGGGATGCATGTGCCTAGGGTCCCCTTCCCTAGGTGCCCTGTAAGTACTGCCTTTGGGGGCTTGGGGCCACCTTTCACAAGTCACCTTGGGGTCTACCTCCGCATGGTCTTTTGCTGCTTGGCGATTTACTGCCCTTGGAGTCAGCTAGGGTGTTTCATGCACCCTAGGCCACTATTCATGTTTCAGGCCACTATTTGCCTCTGGGTAGGGGGTAGTTTCATCACTGGTTGGGGCGCAGGGTACTGTGCAGCCAGTTTTCACCTCTCATAGTGTACGGCTCTGCTCTGCCTGGGCAAGTTGTCCTCTTGCAGGGTTTTTCTTTTGTTTTTGTTTCCCTGCCTGGTGGGGGAGTCTGCCCCTTGATTTTGGTCACACCCATTTATATCTTGGTGGTCCTCCACTAGGCCCCCATGAGTGTACACGTCCCCGGGGTTTAAGCTTTAGCAGTTTGATTGGTAACTTTGGGCACCGGTTAGCAGTACCTTGCATGGGCTTCCCTTAGTGAGATTACATGAATAAGGGCCCTGGGAAACCCCGCAGGGGCTCTTTGGTCCAATGGATGTGACCCCTGGGTTTCCTCTTGCTTCGTGCGAGTTTGAAGGTTGCTCTGTTCCTTTGTCTCAGGGTGACACTCACCTTTTGTGCCTCCCCAGCTGCCTGTTGGGTCGGTACCACCTTCGACCCGGAGTCCTGCAAGTTTTGTTCCTTGTTTGTACTCCAATACACCCAGTCCATTGATCATGATATTTGGGTGCACGCAGCTTCGGCATTGCATGCTTGATTTAGGTTGCTGCAGCACGCTAGGTTCGTTGATACCCCTGGATGCCACGAGACTACCCCGTTAATGGTTATAAGGACCAAGACTTGGAGGTGTTAGTAGCTTCGACTCTGGTTCGGTCTGCGCCCCCTTGTCCTTCCCCTGCTGTTGTTTGTCCTGGTCTTAACTTCCGACCCCGAAGCATTTGAGGGTTTCAGAGTTGGGGCAGGGTTTAGCTGGTGTTAAGACTCGGGCAGTTTTGGGGGATGCCCCTTCCAGTGTGGCGACAGAAGCATTCGAGCATGTTCCTCTAGCCAGAGCTTCTGGGTCTGACCAGTGGACCCCCTTCATTCCTACTTTTTTGACTGCTCCTGCCTTTTCTTTTGAGGAAGAGGACTTGGAGGACAGCTCGACCCCGGGTCCTCATGGGAAAATTCCCGGGGCAAGCGACGGGTTGACTTGGGGGTCTTGGACCCGTTTGGACCCCACTTGGGTTTTTGTACCCTCCGAGCGAGGCTTGATGTTACAGGGAGTGGGGTTTTCTTGTCCTTCCTCCTCGTACAAGTTGGATTAAGTGTCAATTCCTCCACAGGTTCGGTTCTGTGCTTCCTTTGGTTCTTCAGTTCCATCCTTCCAGAGGTTTTCGGCCTCCCGCATCCCACCTCATGTGGTGCAGGAGGCCATCGAGGCTTACTTCCTATGCAACCCAGATTACGCCTCCATAATGGATTCTTCTTCTTCGTGTTTGGATCTTCTTTTCCTTACCGAGTTCGTTATGAGGTTTCAGAGTCGTCCTAGCTTGTGGACTGCCCCTTTTTCCTGTTGGAGGCATGGCATACCTTTTGTCGGTCCAGCACGCTTGAGTGGCGCGAGACTCTTACGGTGATCCAGGTTTAACTGGAGGACGACGACTTTGAGCACCTCAATGCGTGTTTGTTCGCCTCTGCTCTTCTTCGGAATGTAGATGTTGTGCACCTTCACGTGCAGGTTCCCACCCTCTCGGCTGTCTTAGTCACTGAGGACTTGCGTGCCTATGGCCTGTTGGCGTAAATCTTGCGGTTCTTTTCCCTTCTGGAGCTGTCCTTGGACTGGCTTGAGGAGAACATGGAGGCGCTTGGGGCTGATCCTGAGTCTGGTGTGTTGGTCTTGGCGGTGTGTGCATCGTCTGCTCTTTTGAAGCTGTTCGTGCCGATCCTGCGGGATGTGGTGTCGCTATTTTTTGCTTCCCGTCTCCTATGTCGGCTGACCTCGTCCCTCCTGTGGGGTTCCTGCCTGTTTTCAGTTCTGTAAAGGGATTGTGCTGACCTTTGGTTCATTCTGGACTTGGCCAGGTCACTTGCGGGTCAACGATCAGGCTCCATTCGGACTGCTCCCCGGTGGTTTACTGCCTGAACCGAGGGGGGTTCGATGCAGTCCTTGGCTCTTTGGGGCTGGTCGCTTCGGGTGAATTGTCTGCCGAGTTCTTGGGGTTTGGCTCTCCTGGCCATACATAGTCGGGGGGGGGGGGGGGGGGGGGGGGAGGGTCCAAAGTCCTGGAGAACGGTTCATTCCCTTGTCCACGGAATGGACAGTCAACGCTGACTTGTCCCATTGACTCTGCCGGAGGTACAAGCCTCAAAGTGGATCTCTTCAGGTCGGCATGGTTGAGGAGTCTCCTGTTGTATGTGGCGCCCTTCTCCGACCGCAAGGCAGTCGGGATCAATGCCGTCAGGCAGGACTGGTCGAAGTGGGGTTACCTGTACCTCTATCCCCCCGGTTCCGCTGTTGCTCCAGGTTCTAGTTTGCCTGGAGACTTACCATGGAAGAGTGGTCCTTCTCGCACTTTGGTGGCCGGCCCAGCCTTGGTTTCAGGCACTGTTTGTTCGGTGTCTGAACCCGAAGGTCTTCCTGCGTCTCGCCTCTTTCAGCGGATCAGTCTAGTCCGTTACATAGCTGGTTTGATCTTCTCCTCGAGTCTTTGCATCTGGACTTACCACAAGAGAGTGGTCCTTCTCACCCCTTGGTGGCCGGCCCAGCCTTGGTTTCAGGCACTGCTTGCTTGGTGTCTGAACCAGAGGGTCTTCCCGAGTCTCGCCTCTTTCAGCGGATCGGTCCAGTCTGTTACGTAGCTGGTTCGATTTTCTCCTCGAGTCTTCGCATCTGGTCTTTTGGACTGGAGTCTATTACCACTTGTATGGTGAGCAGGTGGCTTCATTGATGGTGTCCCACCTACATGCTTCGTCTCAGCGGCAGCATGAAGTTTCCTGGCGGTTCTTCCATTCTTTTTTATTCCTTCGTATATTATTTCTGTCACTGATAGGGTTGTCTTGTCCTTCCTTTTGTGGTTGTTCCAGGACCATCATCTTATGCCGAATACTGTCGCCTCATATCATGCAGTGCTGGCAGAGCCGCTGCAGCTAGCTTTCGGCATTGATGTTACTTCTGCACCGTTCCGCAAGCTGTCTTGTGAGTCGTTTCACTTCCGGCGTGTTCATGCGCCACCTGAGCCGTCCTGGTCGTTGGACCGGGTGCTCTCTTTTCTCTCTTCTCCCAGATTTGTGTTGGTCCCTTCAGTTAAGGATTGATTTTCCAAGGTTCTTTTTCTGTTGGCATTGGCCTCTGGGGGTCGGGTAGAGGGAGCTTCATGCTCACCTCCGGCGCAGAGTTTTCTGATCTTTTGGTCCTGGTGGTAGGTTTGCTCGTTTGCGGACGACTTCATCTTTTCTGGAGAAGAATGACACAGCTCCATTCCAGAGGAGTCCTTGGGTTGTTGGTGATTGGTTGGTTAGGCCGGGGTACATCATGTCTTGTGTCCGGTTGCGGCTCTCCACCGTTACCTGTGCTCCATGGTTCCTGGGCCAGGGATGCACTTTGGGTTGATCCGGTTTCCCTTTTTTCCTGTTCCAGGGTTCGGGTCTCCCAGGTTGTCTGCAGTGTTATTCGGTCCAGCCAGCCTACAGTCTATCCTTATGCCCATGACATTCATAAGTCTGCTGCACTGGTTGTCATCTTTGGTAACATGTCTTGGGCTGACATTCGGGATGAAGTTTTTGGAGGTCGAACAGGAGCCTGGCCGTTCGCTATCTTGTCAACGTTCCTGGGCTTAGTCAGATTTGTGTTGCATTGGGTCGGCAGTTGTGGCCAGCTGTCTCGACTTCGCATTGAGCAGAGAGGGCCGACCACCTCCAGGGTATGTCCCACTTGTTTTGTCTTTGGGTAAGTAGCTTCGGGGAGCTGACGGGGCTCCCCCAGAAAACCAATGTTGAATGTAATGAAATGCTAGTTTCTGGACGAGAGCCGGCTCCCTGCATCCCTCCCTCCCTCCGGTCGGCATTTTTTTCATGGTTTTTGACATCCAGCATCAGAACTGCAGAGTAGATACTGCGCAGGGGTCTGGGGCTCCCCCTTCCCCCTCCCGGGGAGGTGGGGGTTTGCACAAACAGCGGCGCGGTGACGTGATGACGTCATGCTCGTTTTCATTTGGGGAGTTCTGTCCACTAGTTCGGCTTTCAGTAACAATATTTTAACCAGAATAGGGGTTTGTTTTGGGGCACTTACCTTTCTGGGTGCCTAACCTGGTCGATGGCAGACATAGAATACTTCCAGCCACATGGAGTTTCTACAGGCCATTGCTCTTTGTGCATCTCTGAGGGGGCCAGGTTCTGGCTCATGGTCCCCAGTAGTCCTAGAACTCCATGTGCATTGACTGATGCCAGGGTCTAATACATTCATATCAGCCCGGTTAGCTTCAAGGAGCCTCCGGGTCTCACCAAGAAACTGGCGTTTCATTACATTTAAAGCTGATTTTTTCCTAATCTGAAGTTCAAATTTAAAAAAAATAAAGAATGGTCCAATGGCCTGCACCAAAATGGCTCTTAATGCTCAAAAGGAGAAGCTGTGAGAAAAGGCTAAAGCTACTGAATATACCAAAACTAGGGAATATGACATGAGAAAATTTTCCTAAAAACAGTAAAGAGCAGGAAATTGTGTCATTAATACAACAATGACCTTTCTCCCTACAGAAAAACAGGTGTAGAAAAAGATAAAAAAATATGATCTTGCAAAGTGTAACAAATGAAAACGTAACTTCAGAAAATAGTTGGGTACAGTATGGCAAAATCTACACAGTCTTTGAAACTGGTTATGATGAAATATATAAAGAAGATGGGACACCATGACCATAGCTCATTTTTCTGTAATTATAATTTTTCATAAATGTAATTTATGTAATTTATTGTAAAGCCTTTCCTTACATATTTCTATCCCAATCCGTTTCACTAAAGTACTATGTTAAATTCATTTTGTTAGGGAGAGGAAGCCAAGAAAATATATATATATATATATATATATACTTTAGGCTTGTATCACAGTCTTTTCCCCCTCCCAAGGCTAAACTATTGACTCTTCCTAGGATGTAACCCCACAACAGTTGCCCAACTCTTGGGTACTTATGTACTACCAGATGAACACACACGTTTATTGAAAGAAAACTTGCCCAACTATTCCTGTTTCATTCCAGAAATGAACCCAGGATCCCCAACTGTGAGTTGAGAATGAAGCTAACTGTACTACGATTTCATAGTTTACAGCATGTTAACACCTTCAAGATCTAGTCTCGTCTGCATGCTTTCTCCTGTACAGTATCACCAATATTGTGCCTTATGGCATATTGTATTTCTAGACCCTAACACTTTTCCTATTAAGGATAGGTGTTGTATATCAAGAACCTCCTCCTCTTTTTTATGACCACCTATTTTAAGATTTATAACTTTTGAATTACTTTTAAATACATGGACAATGAAATATTAAGGAAAGTGTTCACGACTTTTGTGAGATTAAAAGGGGAATGTGCAGTGGTTCTATGGTGACCATATCTCAAGATGCATTTCAACTAGAAAAAGTGCAAAGACATGCTACTAAATAGCTTCCAAAACTGAAAAATAGGAGCTAAGAGGAGAGGCTTCAGGTGTTAGATTTGCCAAAGCTGGAAGATAGAAGAAAAAGAGGAGATATGATCACATCATAAACAATAGTAACAGGAATTTAAAAAACTGACAATGAGGATTTCTTGAAAACTGCAGCTTCTAGAACAAAAGATCATAGATTCAAGCTAAGGAAACAAAGGTGCCAAAAAAATACTAGAAAGCTCTTTTTTTCCAAACAGAGTGGTAGACAGTGGGAACAAGTTAAATGAGAAAGTCGTGAAGGCCAAAACTATATGCAGTTTCAAAGCATCATATGGCAAAGAGTACTGGGAAGACAGGACACCACAAGCGTAGCTTTCGTCCTGTAATTACAATTAGGAAATTACACCTAGGTAATTACACCATATGTTGACCAAACCACACACTAGAAAGTGAACAGGCGTTATGAGGAGAGGAGAGATGTTAAATATGCCAAAGCTAAGCTAAAAAGTAAAAGAAAAGAGAGACAGTATGATCAGTACATACAAAATAGTAATAGAAATTGACAAAGGAATTCTTGAAACTTACCACTTCACAAACAAGTGGTCATAGAGTCAAGGGAAGTCCTAAGGAAACAAAGGTTCTAAAAAAAATTTAAAGTTCTCCCCTGCAATGTGAGTGGTTGGAATAAGTTAAGTGAGAAGGAACAAGTCAGTAGTTGCAGAGAGTCACGTGACAGAATACTGGGAAGACGGAACACCACAAGCATAACTCTCATCCTGTAACCACACCTAGGTAATTACACTTAGGTAATTACCTGTTCACGCATCACCAAATTTAAATTCAGCACCATCCATACATATACTGTACAGCATACTGTACAGTATTTCTCACTTGTATAAATAAGAGGAATAAGCCACACACACACAAAAAAAAAAAAAAGAAAGTTAGACTTTATTATACACCTTAAAGTTGACCATATTCATACTTTATAATTTACCCATTAGGAAGAAAATCCGTAGGAGCAGTGATGAGGGTTCAAACCTGTGTGGTGGGTGTTCCACCCACAACATGGTGTGATGCAGTCATGATGCATGGTGTGATGCATCCTATGTAAACATAGGATGCACACTAACATGAGCATAGTCATGTTAGTGTGATTACTCTATGTATTTACCCATTAACGTTTAACGTAATCGTACAATATCACAATACAGTACTGTATTCCTTAAAGTGTATCATATTCCTACTTTTCACAATATAGCAAAGCAATTTCTCTTGTTCTTTACTACATTTTAAAGTCTTTTAAATCTTCCTATCAAGGATCATTAAATTAAAACTATTTAAGAGCTAGAACTAAATTTACTTCTTACAAGAATACAAACCTCCATTGTTTGGGAGTGATGCATCTTTTTAATGGCATTGATGGCACACTGGCGAGAAGAAAAAGTCACGAAAGCACAACCTTTGCTCTGCCCACTGGCATCTCTGAGAACTGTACATTCTTCGATGGTTCCATGGTTTGAGAACATTACACGCACATCTTGTTCGTTGTATCTCTTACTTAGCATACCAATAAACAGTTTACGTTCTGAAACACAAGGTTTTGAAGTTACAGTATTTGGTAACAATTAATTTAAAATGCGATATGAAAAAATTAACATACTGAAGCACTTCAGTCATGTTGTGTAATTTTGTCTGGTGCACTCACTTTCACTCACACACACACACACACACACACACACACACACACACACACACACACACACACACTGGGAAGACGGGACACCACGAGTGTAGCTCTCATCCTGTAACTACACTTAGGTAATTACACACACACACACACACACACACACACACACACACACACACACACACACACACACACACACACACACGGATGGCAAAATACTAAAGAAATTGTTCACAACTTTTTTTTAGGCCAAAACTAGAATATGCAGCGGTTGTATGGTGCCCACATATCAACAAACTGGAAAAGGTGCAAACACATGCTACTAAGTGGTTCCCAGAACTGAAGGGCAAGAGCTACGAGGAGAGGTTAGAGGCATTAAATATGCCAAAACTAGAAGATAGAAGAAAAAGAGGAGATATGATCACTACATACAAAATAGTAACAGGAATTGATAAAATTAATAGGGAAGATTTCCTGAGACCTGGAACATCAAAAACAAGAGACCATAGATTTAAACTAACTAGAAACAAAGATGCGGAAGAAATATAACAAAATTCATTTTTGTACACAGAGTGGTAGACGGTTGGAACAAATTAGGTGAAAGGTGGTGGAGGCCAAAACTGTCATTAGTTTCAAAGCATTATAAGACAAAGAGTGTTGGGAAGTCGTGACACACAGACACACACACACACACACACACACACACACACACACACACACACACACACACACACACACACACACACACACACACCAGAAGGAATACAGAATTATATGACCTTGTTTGCTGATGATGCCAAGCTACTAGGGAGGATAAGAAACTTAAATGATTGTCATGCCCTTTAAGAAGACCTGGACAAAATAAGTGCAACAGCAACACTTGGCAGATGGAATTTACTGTGGATAAATGCCACATCATGGAATGTGAAATAGGAGAAAACAGGCCCCACAAAACCTATAAATTACGTGAAAAAGCTTTAAAGAAAGAGATCAACAGGTGGTTATGGTTATGGATAAAAAAAAACTGTCACCTGAAAATCACATCAAGAACATTTTGCAAGAAGCATATGCTACACTTTCCAACTTTTAAATCGCTTTTAAATAATGTACATGGATAGCAAAATATTTACAAAATAATTCACAACCTTTGTGATACCAAAGTTGGAATATGCAGCAGATGTATAGTGCCCATATCTTAAGAAGCTCACCACTAAAGTAGAAAAGGTGCAAAGACATGCACAATTAAAATAAGTTGCACATGTTTAACTAACTGGAACTAAAAAAAAAAGGAGCTACAAGGAGAGGTTAAAGGCGTTAAATATACCAAAGCTAGTAGAAGAAAAAGAGGTGATATGATCTTTATGTACAAAATAGTCACAGGAATCAATAAAATTTACAAAAATGTTTGAAAATGGCAACTTCAAGAAAAAGAAGACACAGGTTCAAACAAAGGAAACAAAGCTGCCAAAAAAAAACCTTTTGCAAACAGACTGGTAGACAGTTGGAACAAGTTAATCAAGGTGTTGGAGGCCAAAGCCGTCAGTAGATGCAAAGAGTTATATGACAAAAAAGTATTTGGAAGACAAGACACCACAAGCATAGCTCTCATCCTGAAACTACACTTGGGTAGACTGGCCAATACAAGAACTGCCTTTAGAAACTTGTGTTAGGAATCGTTCAGGACCCTGTATACCACTTATGTAAGTCCAATCCTGCAGTATGCAGCTCAAGACTGGAGTCCATACCTAGTTAAACACAAGACAAAGTTAGAGAAGATTCAGAGGTATGCCACCAGACTGGTCCCGGAACTGAGAGGAATGAGTTACAAGGAAAGGCTAAGGGAGCTGAACCTCACAACCCTGGAAAACAGAAGAGTAAGGGGAGACATGATAACCACCTACAAAATTCTCAGGGGAATTGACAGGGTGGACAAAGACAAACTCTTTAGCACGGGTGGAACACGAACAAGGGGACACAGGTGGAAACTTAGTACCCAGATGAGCCACAGAGATGTTAGAAAGAATTTTTTCAGTGTCAGGGTAGTTAACAAATGGAATGCATTAAGTAGTGTTGTGGTGGAGGCAGACTCCATACACATTTTCAAATACAGTATAGATATGATAAAGCCCAATAGGCTCAGGAATCTGTACACCAGTTGATTGACAGTTGAGAGGCGGGACCAAAGAGCCAGAGCTCAACCCCCGCAAACACAACTAAGTGAGTACACACACACACACACACACACACACCCTCATTTCCTCATCCTGGAAACATTCTTGTATCAACATGTTAAACAAGCTACGAGGATGAGGGAAGGGGACGGTCCCTCCATGCTAGATTTGATATTTACCAGGAAGGAGGAAGAGATATTTGACATTCAGTGCCATCCTCCCTTGGGTAAAAGTGACCATGTCTTTTTGGAAATAAAGTATGCAATGCGTTATAATCTGGAAGAAAATAAGGAGGTTGAAGTTGTTGAAAAACCCGACTTCAGGAGAGGACATTATGGCAACCTTAGAAAAAATTTTAGTGGGTATAATTGGACAGACTTGTTGCTAGGGAAGGAAGTGAATGAGATGTATGTCGTTTCGTGAAATATATGATAAAGGAGCAAAAACATTTATACTAAAACAAAGATGCAGAACTAGGAAACAGGATTGGTTTAAATAAAAATTGCGAGAGGGCCAGAGACCAAAAGACACAAAAATGGAATCAATACAGGAAGAGGCCAAACCCCCAAACATACCAGCGATACAAAGATACGAGAAACAACTACATAACAGTGAGGAAAGAGGCAGAAAAAAATTTTGAAAGAGGGATTGCAGACAAATGAAAAACAGAACCACGTCTATTCTACAAGTTCATAAACAACAAATTGCAGGTAAAGGATAATATTCAGAGGTTGAAAATAGGAAATAGATTCAGAGAAAATGAAAAGGAAATGTGTGAAACATTAAACGAAAAGTTCCAAAGTGTGTTTGTACAAAATTAAATCTTCAGGGAACCAGACACAATAATAATAATAATAATAACAATAAGAACAACACAGAGCACATAGAGGTGTCTAGAGAGGAAGTGGAAAAAATGCTCAAGGAGCTAAGTAAGAACAAAGCAGTTGGTCCAGATGGAGTTTCACCATGGGTTCTGAGAGAATGTGCACCTGAGCTCAGCATTCAACTTCAACTGATTTTTCAGGTATCCCTGTTTACAGTAGTTGTAGCTGATGTGTGGAAAAAAGCTAACGTAGTTCCAATCTACAAAAGTGGAAGCAGAGAAGACCCCTTAATTATAGACCTGTATCATTGACAAGTGTAATAGTCAAAATATTAGAAAAAATAATTAAAACTAAATGGGTAGAACACGTGGAGAAAAAGATATAATATATGACAGACAGTATGGTTTTCGATCTGGAAGATCGAAATTCAGACTTACTCAGTTTTTATGATTGAGCCACAGAGATTTTACAGGAAAGAGATGGTTGAGTTGACTGCATCTATCTGCACCTAAAAAAGGCTTTCGACAGAGTTCCCCATAAGAGGTTGTTCTGGAAACTGGAACATATTGGAGGGGTGACAGGTAAGCTTCTAACATGAATGAAAAATTTCCTAACTGACATAAAAGTGAGGGCCGTAATCAGAGGCAAGGTATCGGATTGGAGGAATGACACGAATGGAGTACCACAGGGTTCAGTTCTTGCACTAGTAATGTTCATTGTCTACATAAACGATCTACCAGTGGGAATACAGAATTATATGAACATGTTTGCTGATGATGCTAAGATAAGGGAAGATAAGAAACCTAGATGATTGTCATGCCCTTCAAGAAGACCTGAACAAAATAAGTATATGGAGCAACACTTGGCAAATGGAATTTAATGTAAATAAATACCATGTTATGGTATGTGGAATTGGAGAACATAGACCCCACACAACCTATAAATTATGTGAGAAATCTTTAAAGAATTCTGACAAAGAAAGGGATCTAGGGGTGGTTCTAGATAGAAAACTGTCACCTGAGGACCACATTAAGAACATTGTGCGAGGAGCCTATGCTACACTTTCTAACTTCAGAAGTTAACAACTATTATTATTATTATTATTATTATAGAATTGCTTTTAAATACATGGATGGCGAAATACTAAAGAAATTGTTCACGACTTTTGTTAGGCCAAAGCTAGAATATGCAGCGGTTGTATGGTGCCCATATCCTAAGAAGCACATCAACAAACTAGAAAAGGTGCAAAGACATGCTACTAAGTGCTCCCAGAACTGAAGGGCATGAGCTACTTGGAGAGGCTAGAAGCATTAAATATGCCAAAACTAGAAGACAGAAGAAAAAGAGACGATATGATCACTACATACAAGATAGTAACAGGAATCGATAAAATTTATAGAGAAGACTTCCTGAGACCTGGAACTTCGAGAACAAGCAAGAGGTCATTGATTTAAACTAATTAAACAAAGCAGTCGAAGAAATGTAAGAAAATTTACTTTCGCAAAGAGAGTGGTAGATAGTTGGAACAAGTTAGGTGAGCAGATGGTAGAGGCCAAAACCGTCAGTACTCTCAAAGCGTTATACAACAAAGAGTGCTGGGAAGACGGGACACCACGAGTGTAGCTCTCATCCTGTAACTATACTTAGGTAATTACACTCAGGTAATTGTGCACATGCACACACACACACACTCACACACTCTTATTCTCACTCTCATTCTCTCTCTCACTCTCCTTCACTCTCTCTCGCTCTCAGGAAAACAAGGAATCACATATAACCCCAATGCACATATGGTCAGATGGTATATGTAAACTTCAAAATGTGGGAGACAAGCAAGACTACCTCTGTATGAAAGCTTCAGCATCAATTGTAAAAGATAGGTGATACTTGTGGTTCTAATATG